TATAATTGCCAAAAAAAAGAATCAATATATGGATTCATCCCGGGCTTTACACAATCGATCGGATTAGATGGATATCCATTCAACACAATATAGGTCATCAAAAGAGTCTCAGAAACCCACCAAAGTAATATAAGCCAGGGATGGATGGCGAATGAGAGGTAGGTCAGTAACTTCCGTTAGGTTTGTTCGTTTTGGATTTCCCCGTAGAATTCCAAGTCATTTCTTTCTTTATTCATCTTCATTTCCAATATGTATAGTGCGTATATAGGGGTTGAGGAGTGTTATCCTTTAACTCAGAAGAATCGCAATGCATACTTTCAATTCTTATATATGTAATTGAGTTAAAGGCAACTCCCATTTGTCCATGCAATTGTGACAATAAAACTTGGCAAAAACAAACACTTGATTTCTATAAATACCATTACACCTTAGGATAACATAAAGGAAATAGTAAAATCGAAAGACAAAACTTGAAAGGAAAAATTACAGAGAAAAGGGTACAAAACATAGGGAAAATGCAATCATAAACTCACTGGCCATGAGCTACCTACGATGACAAGGCTCCAAACCCATGGACAAGATTTGAGTATTCCAATTTACAACGGATCTATTTGCGTAACCACCATGGGGCTTCGAACCACGCGCCTTCCATCTACCCAAGAAAGTGACCCGTACACAGCACCCGAGTTATCCAATACCAGATTCTTGCTGTCGACTGATATTGTTACATAGTAGCTCAGTTTTCTGACGTTCTCTGAAAATACAAGCTTTCCGGGCTTAACGGTCACAATCACCCCCTTCGGGGGCTCGATCTTCAATCTGTAAACTGAATTTGCTTCCCCAACATTCGTCACCGTCCTAAAGAATGTCTTGCTAGATACTCCATTCGATGAACTAGGGAACAATGCTGCGATAGACGGGTAATTCAGATTCTCTGGCATTGGCTTCCTCATTGGACAACTCACCGGGGATCGAGTGATCACCTGAATTGTCTTAGGACCATACGCAATCGCGCACAAGAAGCTAACGTAATCGTTGTTTGTCAAGTCATAGACAAGTCCTGGATCCATGGCTAAATCAAGATTCAAATGTCCAGCACCAAAATCATATGGAGTGGCTGGTTTTCCAGTCGATTCATCGATCATTGGTTTAAACGAATTATCGATTAAATTTGCAGTTGTCATCATAGCTGATCTTATAGCCGCAGGGCTCCAATCAGGATGTGCAGATTTAAGCAAGGCTGCAGCCCCGCTCACATGAGGACAAGCCATAGATGTGCCAGACAAAATATTGAACTCAGTTTTTCGAGTATCAGAATCTAAACCAGTTGGACCAACTGCATCGGTCCAAGCTGCCAAGATATTCACCCCCGGTGCAATCAAATCAGGCTTCAAGATTTCCGGGTTAAGACCATTCGGCCCTCTGCCGGAAAATGAGGCCACAACCGGAGCCGGTTTGATCCCAATTACAGTACCCCGGAAATTCATTGTTGCACTTGCAGTTGGATTTGATGCTATGTAGGCCTTAATAGCATCTCCTTCATTAGAACCAACAGCACAAGCTGGAAGCAAATGAGCATCACCGACTAGACCTTCACCATTGGAAACGCCATTAGCGAGGATCATTCCTACACCACCAGCCTTCTTAACAGCCAAGCCTTTCGCAACACGAGGACTACTCCCTCGATCGCAAATCACAATTTTACCTTTCACTAAACGAGGATCAATTGAATTTTCCATACAGAGTGAATCAGAGAGCATCCCTGATTTACCCGGATAAACCAGAGGATACATTTTACCGTTTAATGGTGCACCGGCATATAAAGATACACCGGAAAGTTTCCTTCCGTTGCCAAGAATTACGTCAGCCGGGAAATCCCGGTCAATCGTGCCACCACCAACAGTTGTCAGCCATGGCGCCAGGTTAGTCACTGACATTCCATTAGGCCCATCATTTCCGGCTGACGAGGAAACAAATATGCCTCTAGAAACTGCACCATATGCTCCGATAGCAATCGGATCAAGATAATACGGAGAAGAAATTCCGTCCCCGCCACCAATGGAAATGGAAATGACATCGACTCCATCATTAACAGCCGCATCAAATGCCGCCAGAATATCGGAATCAAAGCAGCCGGAATTCTTCCAGCAAACTTTGTAAACCGCCAGTCGAGCTTTTGGTGCCACCCCTTTAGCAATTCCAGAAGCATAGCCTTCCATGCTGGCCTTGAATGCATATCTCCCAGCAGCAGTGGACGCAGTATGAGTTCCATGACCGTCAGCGTCTCTTGGGGATTTAAACTCGATGGTTTGATTAATCCCGCCAGCAATTCCACCAAGACCAGACGATGCTTCATGGCCTTTAGAGAAAAACCTCGCTCCAACTATTTTTCTGTTACAATTCTTGGCTGTGAATTTAACCCCAGTATTGCACACTCCCTTCCAGCGTTTTGGAACAGGGCCCAGATTCAGATCCGAGAAGCTCCTGTGCTCGGGCCATATTCCCGTATCAAAAATTCCAATGATGACATCAGACCCATAATCTGATTCCGACCAGAGGCCGCGCTGGTTCCTCAGCCCAAGGAATTGCGGCGACCTCGTGGTGTGGAGGTGCCGGCGCCGGTCCTCTAATACGGCAAGAATTGAAGGATGCTTCAGAACCGAAGCAGCTTGAGACGGAGTTAACGAGGCAGAGAATCCATGGAAAACGGTGTCATATACATGGAGGATGCTTGTGGGCTCACTGAACTCGGAGGTGTACCAGTGATAATGTGTTGGAAAAATAGACGGCTTGGATTCGCTGTCTACTCTGATAATGTAAGTTTTAGCCGTTTGATCAGCTAAAATTTGGGTCACTGAGACTACGAAGAAACATAATTGAAGAAAAAGTGAAGCCATTAGAGAGAGAGAGTGAAGTGCGGAAGTTTAGCGAGAAAAAAAAAAAGCAGTGTTGCAGGAGATAGAGATATAAGAGGAGGGATTATTATCCTTTTAAACTTCTTTAGATCTTTTAGGACAAAATTGCATCACTTGTCCCTAACTTTCTAGCATCTTGACATTTAATTTTTTTTCTTTACTACATTGTTCCAGTCTATTAATTATGGTGCATAGTTGGTCCCTATTTGAAAAATTTTCAATTCTTTAGCCGTTAAACAAGCATGTGCATCTCTTACTTGACATTTTTAAGGGTAACATTTAGATAAATGAGAGGACAAAAAAAATCATTGATCTAGATTATAAAATTGAGCAGGGTCAACAACCTCGTGGACAAAATCAACAAATCTACAAATTCTCAATATATATATATATATATATATATATATGAGGTGGATAGACGAATTAACTGAAGCAAAATAACTGGACGATATTAACGATGGTAAGTAGGATATGAGATAATAAGTGCCATTTTTTCAATTGAAATGAATGTATAAATGTCGTTTTATCTAAATTATGCACCATATGTGAGACAATCCGCACCAGAATAGATATTAAGGGGATGATATTGTCAAGAAAAATAGGTTGGACACCAAGTTGCTACAATATTTACAGATTAATCCCACTGCTGCAATTTCCCATGATTAAGTGGGGATGTTTAATGAAATCAAAATAGGGACACAATTTTTGTCGTCACAGAAACTGATGAGTCAGCCCTATTTTCACTGCGGACATGACGGGAATGAAATGAACAATAATTGGGCAAAGAAAGTCTTTGCGACGTCGTATTGCTTCTTGGAGAAGCTACACGGCAACGTTTTGAATCTCTTTTACTTTTTCTTTTTTCAATTTTTCCCGTTGTACTGTAAAGAGGAAAAAGGCAAGAATAATTGATTGATGCTAGTCGCTTTCTTTAATATATCATGTAGTTAATAGAAATGCAACACGTTATGGCATCAAATAGTGTGAATAATACATTTTGTACATGTCAATGTCTTGTAATCTTGAGTATTTTCACAAAGTCAAACGGATTAGACTTAAACACTGTTTGACTATCATTTTCACTCAAATTTATTTTTAATCACAAAATTTATCAACCTACAATTTTTATTAATTTTTCAACTTCACAAGTCATCAATTTTATTAAGATCTACAAAAAATTTGATATTTAACTAAACCAAAAAGAAGCTTAATAATACATAAAATTGTTGTATGAAAAAATAAGCTCTTAGCTGTACCATCTCATCTAGCTCAATACTAAGCCCTTGTTTGAGTCTCATTTTTTCATTAACATACATTTTTGAACAGTGATTTGATCACATTTTAATCACACATTTGTTTAATAAAATAATATTAAATTCAAATCAAAAAATTTTTCTTGTTTTTCAACTACACATTCTCCATCATAACAATATTGCAAAATACATTTGTTGAAAAAAAAATAAAAAAAATTGGAGCTCAAATTCACAATCTCATAACCCTAACTTCAAAAGAATAGCCACTGTTTGTTTTCAATTCAGAGTCAACATTAAATTTTAACCACATATTTTACGAGACCCACAACTTTTCAATCGCACATTTTAAAAAATTCTATCAAAAATTTAATTTTAATCTCCATCAAGCACCATCTAATAGTCTTAATCACATGAAACTGTTTTCGTGCCTCGTCAAACAAGTCTAGATTTGTTGTCCCCATCTTACTATTCACTTGGCTATCCTCAAATCAAATTTTGACATGTTGAGCACTTCAATATCATAATGACATGCCAAAGGGACAACAGGTCTAGACACCCGTCATGTCTATCGCTTTAAGGCATCAAATAAAACTTTAGCAAGTACGAGGCACAGCATTAATGCTTCAACAATTAAGGTAGTTGCAGCCTGCAAGAAATGCAAAGGACTTACTGGTTGAGAACTTTCATCAATGCATGAACCAACATAATGGAAATGAAATTCTTATGAACCTATTTACACGAAGACCGTGCTTCAATGCACGAAATGAACTAAATGCAAATGGCATTCTCATGAATCTAGGCACACCTCTAAAGCAATGTTCAAGACCCATTGTGAACTATGAAGTAGTTGAGTCATAAATTTATAGCTCTGTTTCTAGAGATTCAAATCTTCTGTAGTACATGAGTTTGAAGAATTTAGTGCGACATACAAGACTAGAATAAAATTTACAGATGCTTAGCATTTACTCGAAGTTCACTTCATAATAGCTAAGTTTGAACCATTGCTGCTAATACGAAGAACAGATTATCATAAACAAGATGTCAACATGCTAAACAATTATACTATACTGAATATAATTTAGTGGAAATGATGCTAGTCAACAATTTTTGCCATCTCAACAGGTTAATTCTTCAAAACGTACTGCTGCTGTTGTATGATCCTGAAGTTTGGCTCTCATCTTCCCACTTGCTCTTCGGTATCTCCCCAGAATCAGCAATGATCACCTTTTTCCTTGGCTTCCCACTGTAGGTTCCCGCTCCTCCCTCAATGGCATACACGGTATCCATGCCTTCGATAACTTTGCCAAAAACAACATGCTGGCCATCCAACCTGTGCAATTACCATAGTACGCATAAAGAATTCCTCCAAACCCATCGACTTACAAAATTGAATTCTTGACAACCCTTTTAGATTTTCTTCTTCAAATTCTTTTCATGTATTAATATTAATATTATTGAGGATAATATAGGACATACTTTCTCTACTATAGAGCCCTTAAGATATTAAAATGTCAACTGCCAGGTTAAATTGCAACAAATACTGAAAGATATACTAGAAGTGTAAAAATTTTAGTGATGGCAACGGACTGCAAAACAGAGGGAACTATATTTCTGTGATGTGTCATAAAATAGAATCGTGAAGTCATGATCGCCTGATAGAAAACCCAAGACCTTTAATTAAATTTATTTGCTAGCCAATATAAATCTTACCAGCTAGCCTTGATTGTTGTTATAAAAAATTGTGAACCGTTGGAATCAGGTCCCAAATTCACCATGGAAACAACACCTGCATAAAGTCACATGTTGCTAAAAATACGTGAGAGAGAGGGGGGGG